ATAAAGGTATATTTTTTTTTATTATTATGTAACTTAGAATGCCAAATAAGCCCACCTGATGGAAAGTGGTAACCGTTACCTATAGACATGAGCACTACCATGGACATAACAGAGTATACTGTTTCACACATGATACCGCCCATGCGTTGCCATTCCTGAGGACTCAGATGTTATTCCTCTGTAAATTATGTAAATTCACTGCCATATCCAACCCTTCAAATCGAAACACAGCAATGCAAACACAACTGCCCTGCCTGCGTTAACGGTATACACGGGGCACCAATGAGAGATAACAGGTGACGATCAAAGCAGGCCAGTTAGCCCATCGTGACGAATTCAACTAGAATTAACCGCGATGGTGTCCAGGGGGAACCACGTGGAGATCGACCTGATAGGATGTATTGCTGGCAATGGGCCAGTTAGACCCCATTGCTAACAACTCCTCCCCTCCTCCCAACTTCAATTGTTCTATAAAAGATATCCAGTAATTTGCTCACCAGATTACCATTGTTTCTGCCTACTCTAATGGGAGACAGGCGTGACAGATATGTATGTATGTATGTATTACCTCTAGGGAGCAAATTTTAGATGATATTTCGTTATAGCTCGAAAAACGATCTCTTACGTAGCTACAACACAACGTTAGAGAAAACTGTGATCAATGTCACAAACGCAAATAATAACACACCATGTGTGTGTATTTGGTTTTTTGATTATCACAGACTTTCTACACGGGTTACGTTATCATTCACTGACAAATATACCTACACACACTTTCTCATGTAGATATTGTGATGTAATACAATTAGATAGGGGGGGAAAGGGATTGTTAGTAATGAGATTTAACAGCCTCATTTCTAGGAATACACCCAATCAGGTCAACTCCACTCACCTCTCCACGCGGTTCCCCCTGGAAACCATAGTGGTTATTCATTTATTTATTTATTTATTTGAAAATTACTCACCACACTTACAGTCTCCCAAAACGTGTAGTGAGCCACAGGTTTATTTTACAAACTTACAAACTTTAAACAACATTATAAAAATATATCTATTTTGTCATTTAATATGTCAATATTTGGCTGCTGAGCAATTTCTTGTCACTATGGGCCAAATGACCTGTCATCATCCTCACCTGTCACCCTTGACTGGTAACCCGTCAGTGTATACCGTAAGCGTAGGCAGGGTTACCATTCCACCTCTATCTATCCATTTAAGAGCTGCGCTCTTGTCGGTGGAGCAGTAGATATAAATTCAGGGCTGTGATAATGGATGAGATAATATCATAATTACCTATGTTACATATAAATATATAAATACATAAATGTAAATATGTAGTGTATACATGTACGTGTATACACTACATATTTACATTTATTTATATCATACTACCTTATCCACTCATTTTTTATATACAACTTAGAATGGCAAACAAGCTGACGGCCCACCTGATGGAAAATGGTAACCGTCGCCTATAGACATGAGCAGTAGCATGCACATAACAGAGTATACTGTTTCGCCCATGATACCCCCCATGCGTTACCATTCCTAAGGACTCAGGTGTTATTCCTCTGTACCCAGTAAATTCACGCCATATCCCACGCTTCACACCGAAACACAGCCATGCAAACATAACTGCTTTATGGTTGAAACACGAATAGGACAGAGGTACCCAAGCAATCGACTTTTCTACAAAGTCTCATACATTTATACCTCTTTACAATTGGTGACCATGAATTTGTATTATTTAATCATTGCTGTCAATATCTGAACTGTAGCAACATGGATTTTAATTATTTTATACATCAATTAACCTGACTTTATGGACACTCATTATTATACATAGTTTCTTTCATACATGCACTTATATTACTTGCACAGTGCACACACACACTCTAACTCGCCTACCTCGCTTTGGAATTATAATTTTTGTTTGTATAAATAAAATCCGTTATTGACTATATTCATAAGAGACTTAGCATACAAGTTGTTTTTAAGAGCTGTGGATTTATGTATAAAATAAAAAAATAAAATAAAAATAAAATCTTTACCCATAAAAAAAAAATACAGGTTCTTGTATCTACATTTTGAGAGACAGTTCCGAAGGTGGTACTCGCTTAATTAAATTTTGCTGGTCGACTTCTAGACAATAAAATAAGTAATGATCGAATTACTACCTAACCGGATACCATGCAATCTATGTAAATTATATAAATGCACAAATCATCTGTAACGTAACACTATACCTAGTTCCAAGTTTTTTTTTTTAATAAATGTAAAAGGCAAGAGGAAATGGCAACCACAGTCTTTTAGAAAAAATTTAAGAGGGATGCTGATCCCCATCCCCTTACCGTTAATTAGACTACATTAGTTCTCTAAGTCGCCTCTTACGACACCCACAGGAAATGAAGGGGTGGCCAGGACCGGGACCGGGACCACACGGAAAAATTACATGTTACCAGTTATTATATAAATATTTTTAATTTATAAAAATTCAATTATATATTATCTGTACTTAGATCGAGTTAACTTGATTATAATAATATGCTAATAACCGCTCCAAATGCTAAACAGAGTCGACAGAGTGGCACAAAACGAATTAATTCGCTTACTTGCTATTAAGCGTATTAATTTTTTTTTTTATTTTCTTTTCCAGAATGAACGATGCATTTGGAGCGTGGTAATCATGTACATATATATAGTCAGCAAAAAAAAGTACTAAATATACCTATAACTTTTCTTTTAATTTTTTTATGCAACTTAGAATATTAACCGTCGTCTATAGACATGAACAGTACCATAAACATTTTATTATATATGATTGCCAAAGAGTATATAACCAAGGGGTATTGCTTTACGCTACAACATGTCTGATGTCGATATCATAGACAACAAAATAAAAAAAAATTAAAAAAAAGTGAATTTATTTAATACTCATAATTAAATGGTTGACGTGGGTTCAAAAGCGGACCTACTTACCCAAATGGGATGTTATATGTATAAGATTTATTTACACATTTTATTATACTTATAAATTTATGTTTGATCCCTTGTTTCCGCCGTTTCTTTTAGTCCGTCAATTCTTTAATCTTATCAAACAAACTAACTAATCAGAAATTATGCGTACAAAGAGCGTCCAATGTCAATAATCATGATACACCTAAGTACTACCTTTGAGAATTAATAATTAAAACAAAATTGCAAAATAGTAAATAATAAAGTATTAAATGACTATATATAAATTAAGAAAATATTATGAATTGCCAAGAATTAACACAATTAATAGATACTTATTGTGAAATTAATAATCTACATATTTATAAATTAAAAAAAAAATTAGAAAGCAGGTTTTTTGTTACCTACATAGAGTAAGCGTAGCTTAACCGATGGGGAAGAAAATAACGTGTGACGACCTTAAATATATTGAAAGGAGTCAGTGGATCCAGATCGCTCAGGACCATTCCTCGAGGCAGTCTATGAGGGAGGCCTATGCCCAGCAGATAATGGCTGAAATTATGATGATAATGACATAGAGCAAGTTATCATTACATGTTATCTACAGCGTTATAATTTGCGTCTTCAATTCTGTTATGAAATTATTACTTTTGATAAAAAAGCTCTGGTGATGCAATGAGTTTTTAAAGATATTCTTAGACGATCAAGTAACTTGAGTTGAAAGCACATATGTTGCTTATAATATAAAAAAGAAGAAGCAATTACGTATCTATTCCATGTATAGTTTGTTTTGTGGCCTGTAGAAAAACTGATTAAGTGTGCAATTATATATTAATGAATATAATAATGGAAGAGGAATGACTGTAGCACAGATCAAACAATCGCTACATGATATAAGAGTTGACACTGTTGTACTCGATAAATTTAAAAATATTCTATGCAATCAACTAGCTGTATAAACAATAAAAAAAATATCCATAGTACCATTTATAATTTTGAAAAGAAGCGTATATAATTTTTTCTTTCCATTTTTGTGTACTTTATATAAAAGTCGTTTACTTGGGCACCTCTGTCCCATTCGTGTTTCTACCGTGAAGCAGTTATGTGTTTCGGCTCGAAGGGTGGGATATGGCAGTGAAGGAATAATACCTGAGTCCTCAAAAATGGCAAAGCATGGGGCTATCTTGGGCGAAACAGTATACTTTGACTCTGGTATGTCCATGGTACTACCATGTCTATAGACGACGGTTACCACTTTCCATCAGGTGGGCCGTCAGCTTGTTTGCCATTCTAAGTTGTATAAAAGAACACAACACAGCCATGCAAATAAAACTGCTTCACAGCAAAAATATAAATAGGGTAGAGATATTCTAGGAGATGACTTTTATATAACATCTGTCTAAAATATTGCTATTCATAGCTATTATAATAATTTAATTTAAATATTTCAAATGACTTATGATATAAATTTTTAAAATACTATTAACTGGTTGCACGCCTAAATTTTATACAAACTTACTTTATTTGAAGTGAAATATATCTGGATAGAATATAATCTAATATAATCTGTGGTCATTTGGCTGATGGCTTTCGCCAAAGTCACAATAAATGAAAAAAAATCTGTGGTCAGCCCCATATTGCCAGATTGGATATTTCTTCGCAATTTTGGGTCAAACATTTTCTGTTTGCGCAACCTTGGAGACATGAAATTCTTAAAGAAATGTTTAGAAAAAAGTAAAACGTACTTGAAAAAAGTTTAGTATATGTTTTTGACTGTTTTAATATTTGTAAAGCGATTTTTAAATATATCGGTACTGGTATATATTAATAAAGGTAATAAAACAAAGGATAAGAAATGTTAAATGAAGAGAATTTTTCTTTTTTCGTTGCTTTTTTTGTAATTACTTTGTAATTACATAAAAAAATATAATATCATGACACATGTTTGTTAGGTAAAGTGAACGAAATCCTATCGATTTGGAGGATTATTTCACATTTGGGTAAATATTAAAAATAGTATCTGGCAACCCTATAACCAACAGTAGTCTCTAGTTTTCTTTAATTAATCTGTAATCATTGATATTTTGTCTTATCGGTTTTCATTTTTATAATTTTTATAAATTTTGTATTCATAATAACATAAACAAATAAAAATTACATCAAAATCACACATTAACTAGTTAAATTAAAGTTTTTATATACATGCCAGAACAAAAGGCAGTAATAATATTATAAAACGACCATGGACGATATAGAAAAGCTTAGTTGTAGTGAGTGCTTCTCTCATTAAATAAAATTAAGTCTTTATGCAATTTAATATCGCTAATATATTACCCTTGTTCTAGAAGAAGAGATATTAGAAGTTAGTGATATGGAACATTCAGCCAACGACGAACACAAGGATGCCGATGATAAACCTAAAAAAAAGAAGAGAAGACGCCGTGAGGTAGATATGGTTAGTTGCATCTAACTTCATCTAAATTCTATTTATTTTTTAATTAAAAAATCACAGGAATCCAATTTATACTTCATACTGCAGCTGCTATCTTCGCTGTTCTGTTAATATTGACGTCCACACGCAATTACAAAATCGCAAGTCAATCGCCGATCACTAAAGATGCTACTGTGTAGACTATTATTATTGCTTTTGTTATTATGAGTTTGTGGTTGTTCAAAATACCTTTTAAAATTTATGTAGAGTAGAAATTAAGTAGATCTACATATATATTAAATTATTTATATTAACTTTCCGTATTAAATCTCATACACACACAGAGGTCTCTCATGTGGTCACTGCCTATATTCTATCTCTTACAACTTATTGCTGTTACAATTGATCATCGTGGCACACCCTCAAGTCTTCATAACATTATTTACACTTTTAAGCTTCTGACATTTTAATTTTTAATTTTTTTTTTTTAATTTCATACTATTAATTTGCTATCACATTCACTTCTTTCTTAATCTTTTATTTAAATCATAATATAGAATTAGTTTTGAATGTTAGAAATAATTTGTCATGAAGGCACTTATTTGCAGATAAAATTATCTGACGATGATGATACTGATGACGAGGGGTTGGCCAAAAAGCTGATACGACGATTGAGTCCCGGACCAAACTCCCCGGCATCACATAGAGAGCCTCGTACATGTGTACTGAAGGTATTATACATTTATGTAACAGCAGAATATCCAATTAGAATAGCAATAGTTATAAAACATTAAAGCAGGTTGCGACTTGATCATTTATAATACATTCAGACATAAATTCATAGCAATATTTCATTTTTGTCACCAATCTCATAGTTCGGAAACAACCAATATTGTCATCGATATATAAAAAACCTAAGATACACAGTTAAATATTAATTATATTATTAATTTAAATTGTACATTCATTTCTAATCATGCAGTGACGTTTGTAAACACATTTTGTAAAAATGTGACTGGGAAAAATAGTTTGAAGTTTCATATTTATTATTAACAATTATATTCCACTCATGTGGAGTTCTAAGACTTATTTCCTTTAATTTCAATGTAGGTCAATATTGAATTGGAGTATAAATCTAGCATTTTTTCATATTTATCTTATGTAAAATAAAAAAAAAATATGAACTATGTTATAAATAGCTTTTTTTTTTATAAAATTAAGTAAAAATAATATCGAACTCATACAGGCCAGTCAAAAACGTCGCCCCCTGTCCCGTCTCCTGGAGCAACTACTGCGTAACCTGGAGAAACGTGATCCGCACCAGTTCTTCGCGTGGCCTGTGAATGACAACTTTGCCCCTGGATACTCCACCATCATCAAGAGGCCAATGGACTTCTCCAGTATAAAGCAGAAGATAGATGATAATGAATATAAATCCCTCAATTGTTTTATTGTAAGTATTCATATAGCAAAATTTGAGAATTATTTGAAAACTAACTTTTATACATGACTTTGTCTGTATGACCTATATGTGTTTACTGACTAGTAAAAGTAGCCGACGTGCTTCATCCTATATATGTGTACTAAATTTCTAAGCTGTTAAGATGCTATAAGATACAAAACAAGCTTCAGTGTTTTACGTCCCAGTGTTCCGCCTCGTGCTGCGGGCGACAGCTCCCAGAAGACTTGGAGATAAAGCTGAAACAATTTTCAAAAATAATAGACATAAACTCAGAAAATTCGTGTTATATGTGTGTATATATGTATATATACATACACATATAGTATTAATACATACTTTAAAAAAATATTGTCACCTTTTTGACATAAACAGCATCTTTGACAATATTATACAGAGATTATGTAACAATTGTCCGCAGAGTGACTTCAAACTTATGTGCAACAATGCCATGAAGTACAACAAACCTGGCACAGTATACCACAAGGCGGCGAAGAGACTCCTCCACGCTGGCCTGAAGCAGCTCACGCCGCAGAAACTGCGCCCGTTGGGAGATATACTGACCTATATGTACGAGATACCTATACGAGAACTTGGATTTGATATCGGAAAAATGGATGTGGTAAGTACTTCACCATTATACTCTGGATTAACTAGTATACGCCTATCTTAATATAAGAATCTTAAGCGACTTTCATCTGAATCTACTTGGTAATTTAACCAAGACAAAAATCTGCAGGTTAGGCATAGCCACATGTATTGTTTCTGCATTCTGTGATCTTAAAATTATTTATGTCTCTTTAAATACATCATTATTATGTTGTATCAATTTAGACCTATTAGTGTATTTATAATTTCTAATATTAAAATTAAAAAAAAAAATTGCACACAATGTTGGACAGAATTTATTAAAGTGAATTAAAAATATATATTTTATATGCACTGCAACCAATGCAACAATGTTACTGATTTAAATGTAACTGGATAATGCCTGTACATGAAAGATATTAAAAAAATAATATAAGGAGTTTTTTAATTGGAGCTATAAAAACTATAGAAATTTTGTTTGTCTGTCTGTCTGTCTTAATGTATGTTTGTTTCGGCATCACGCAAAAAATACAATGCCAAATTAAATGCGGTTTTTTTTACTGTTGTATCCCTAAAGGTCTAATTTATATTATCCGGTTTATATTTTAAGCGAAGCCACTTAGAAGTGGCATGTATGAACTAGTGGGCATAAAGATAATATTTCATACAAAATGTACGAACACAATGTTATGCCCACTAAATTATGTGTGAACCTCAAAGATTTATGATGATATCATGGACACATGGTATACCAGGGTGTGGCCCAGAAGTTGATCACAGAAGTGATGTAGGTAGCTTGAGAATAAATGAGATAAAGCAAGAACAAAAATGATAGCTTCAAATGCCACACTCTTGGGAACATTCCATGTAGTGTGACATGTGACTTTAGTTACATTAATACTTACCGATTACTTACTTCATTAATGAAAGACTGTCCAAAAAAACTGACTTCAATTGTGACAAAACCAGTTACTTTGATATAAAAACTGAACCTATTTTGATAAAACTTCTATCAGACCAATCTGTAAGTATATCCTTTCAGATAAAAAAAAAACAATTTTCCAAATCGGTTAAGAACTGACAGAGTTATAAGGATACAAACAAAAAAAAATTCGGTCAAATAGAAACCTCTTTATTTTTGAAATCTGTTGAAAAAAAAACTATTTATTGTTTTCAAAATCCTTATAGTCGCCATATATATTATTTTAAATTACAAGATTTTATATATTAAAAGTTTGGCCGAATCTCATGAGACGTAAAGTCCTGTGGTCCGGCCGTAGAATAGGCCACCCCTTCCTTTCCCGTGTGTGTCGTAAGAGGCGACTAAGGGAGGGCGAGGGATGGGCAGCAGTGTCTCTCTTAAAACATCTCCAAAGCCTAACTGCGTTTGCCAATCCGCCTGCCAAGTGCGGCAACTACTGACAAAACACCCCAAGGGGGAAGCTTATGTACAGCAATGTACAATTAAAGGCGTGATGATGAGTTGAAGATGATTAAAGTAAAATATTAACTGTTGATCCCGTAGAGTAAACAGTGGTGAAACAATATTAAAATTTCCAATTAGGTAGACTGTCTATTCGATTATGACGTTTCCTATATAGTTTATGTTATCCCAGTATTGTCCAGGCAATTGGTGTGATTGTCTGGTACCATTATTTTACATTTTTGTTTCATGTATTTATTTATAATTTAGTTAATTTATACAAGAAATGAAATTGAGTTCATTAGCGGTATATAATACTAGGAATATAAGATCTTTTAACAGGTAGACAAGAAGTGCCTACATTTGATTGTAAAATTTGTGGATTTTACAGTAAAATGACGTCCTATGGCCAATGTGCCCCAAACCAGCGGCGTCGGATCCTCTCGTATTACGTAGTTTTAATACTAATTTATTCTATATCATTGGAACATTTCAAAATACCACTAATTACCTCAGTTTCCTTCTGTATACAATTATTATTTCAAATATTTATTTGTGTCATTATTATATGTTGTAAATAGATGTGAATCCTTGGTACATAAATGAATGCAATTTTTTGCAAATTGTGTAAATGGTAATCACATGGAATTGTATGTAATATGTCTATATACCTGTATCTATGTACCTATATATCTGGATTCCAAGCTCTCGGGCAGTATCTAATGAAATCAGTTTCTAAATTTAGCTACATAATAAGTGGACATGAAATTTGTTTGAAAAATTAATTGGCACGGTAGTCTATTTCGAATAAAAGCCATCTAGACATTTAGACTACCAAATGGGTCAATGAAATTTGTCAATGACATAATAACAGGGTTTTTTTTTTTAAATTAATAACTAAATAATAAAGTTTGTATACTCATGTTAATATTGTTTTTTAATGAAAAGAAACAACTTAAATTAATACAAAATTGGTATGGGAATAGAAATTGAAACTATTCGAAATATGTGACTAAATTAACGACAATACACACTGAAAGACTATTTTTAGTATGAATCGATTGTTTTAACAATTGTTTCATTAATGAAAATAAAAAAAATATATATATCAAACCAAATCATGGAAAAACATGACAGTTGATTTTACAAAGCAGACATAACTTGTTGATAATCGAAATAGTTAAACTACCTTCACTGTAAATATTTATGTTTACCGACAACACTATCTGAGTATTACTAAAACGTTGAAAAATCGCTTTTTGCAATGCAGCCTCTTAGGACGTACGGGCGAAAGGTGAACATTTGCAATATTTTACATTTAGGAGTACGTAGTGTTCTGTATTTAGTAACATTAGCGATTTATTTTGCTTCACGAGGTATGAGTGTTGTTTTGTGGATTTATTAGACGATGGATTCCCATTGTGCATGTGTGAATTGCCTGGATTTTGGTTTTTGAGCTATACATAATTAATGGCAAGTTAATACATGAATATATATTTTATTTTTAAATAAACAATTGTATAAAAAAAGTGAAAATTATATGAATTGTGAATAGCTCACGGACCTTCCCGCCCAGCAAGGCTCCTCCTTCAAAATGAAGCGAAATTATACTTTATGTCAACAGCACAAGGTGTTAAAACGCAGCAGCCCGATGAAGAGTGGTGGCTCAGAGGCGGAGGTGGCGTCGGACGGTCAGGACCGCCAAGATTCCGGGGACAGCGTGAAGATACAGATGGAGGCCGCCAGGGAGCAGCACCGGCGTAGACTGGCGAAGAAAGGTGAGACAAACCTTAAATATTTTACTCGACCCACTGAAACTGCGCAGAGATGTTGCATCTCTGTGGATCTTCTACCGAATTTATCATGGGGAGTGCTCTGAGGAGTTGTTCGGATTGATACCTGCTGCTGACTTTCACCACCGTACAGCCCACCATAAACTAAAATTTCATCCCAACCATCTGGACGAGTGGTAGCGGCGTTCCATCGCGCGTTTTTCAAGGCACTTTCTTCCACGTACAACCACTCTTTGTAATCAACTTCCAGCAGCAGTATTTCCAAACCGATACGACATTATAACCTTCAATAAAAGAGCATATTCCTTTTTAAAAGGCCGGCAGCACACCTGCAATGCCTTTGGAGCTGTAGGTGATCATGGGCAGCGGTAGTCACTTACCATCAGGTGAGCCGCAAGGTCGTTTGCCCCCTGTGTTGTAAAAAAAAATAGAAGAAAAAGCAATATGGTTCTGATTTGATAACGTAAAAAAAAACTTTTTTTATGGGTGTAAAAGGAATGGCGACCCTGCCTGCACCATCGGTACACACGTTTCGATATGATATCCGATAGGCTGGGATGGTAAAAGCTGGCGGGGCACCAGTGAGAAATGATGGGTGAGTATGAAAGGAGGTCAGTTAGCCCATCGTGAGGAATTCTACAAGAATTAAACAAGATGATTTCCAGAAGAAACCGCGTGGAATCGACCAGATAAAGTGTATTGTTAGCAAAGCAGTTATTAGATCCTATTACTAACAATGCTTATTTTAACTAATGGTTACATAAAAAAATAATTCCTTAACATCATACTTCTGGTGTTTCCGCAGAGGAGGATACGATCTTCCTCTATATTACCAGAGGGATACTTTTTACAAAAGTCATTTGCTTGAGCACCTCTGTCCAATTTGTGTTTCAACCGTGAAGCAGTTGTGTTTGCATAGCTGTGTTTCGGTTTGAAGGATGGGATATGGCGTGAATTTACAGGGTACAAAGGAATAACACCTGAGTCCTCAGGAATGGTAACGCATAGGGGTTATCATAGGCGAAACAGTATACTCTGTTATGTCCATGATACTGCTCACGTCTATAAGCGACGGTTACCACTTTCCATCAGGTGGGACATCAGCTTGTTTGCCGTTCTAAGTTGTATAAAAAAAAATATTAGCCCACTGTTATTATCTCTTACATCATATTACAAATTTACTTGCAGCATTCCCACGTATGGACGCGGAGGGCAAAACGACGCTGTGCCTCGTCACACACACGGTGGAGGGCACCGGGGAAGACAAGCCACTCACCCTCGGGCGTTACATAGGCAAGCTCACGCAGGGCACCGGCTCGTTGCACAGTAAGTAGAACATTCATTAATTTCTTAGCCACTTCTGATGAATTAATTACTAGTAAGTAATAGGTAAGTGCCACACGATTACTCCACTCGACTGGTCCTGGAGACAGGACACCCTGTTGATGGAGGAGAAAGAGGAACCGAGCACCGAACAATTGGGAGTACAGCCCAAAACTCCCTGATCTTTGTCCATTCAGAATAGTTTGTTTCCTATATTGGCCTCGATCGGGTTTGAATCTGTAATAAATGTTTTATTTATTGTTTTTGAGGAAAACTTAGGGCTGTAATAACTTAATAATTAATTATACATGACAACAATAAGCTAATTAGAAGCTACCACATATTGTTAAGATCCAATACTATTTCTTAACATAAAATATTTTTTATTGTAAAACCATAAACTAACAATGTAAATTTTATATATGGAAACACTGATTAATGTAGCATTGCAACACAGCGATCTGTTTTCGCAGCTCTTCCTCCATCAAACATCAACAAGCTACGGCCTTGTTGGGAATGGATGGCGCTACCTAACAATGTCGAATATTATGTATTATTATTATACTCCCCAGCCCCCCGCGAAGACCGCAGGAACCTGGCGAAAGGCGTGAAGCCGCTCAACTACGGCCCATTCAGCTCGTACGCGCCCTCTTACGACGGCACCTTCGCCACGCTCACCAAGGAGGAGTCTCATCTCATATATCACACATTACGTGAGTATATCCATATCCATGTATATTTATCATCATAACTACCTATCAAGGGCCATAGCTGTACTCATTCCATAAGAGAACTTAAGTGGAACGATAACTTCGCGGGCTATGTTGGTTTACGCTGGCGAGCCACCGGTGAGGTATGATAGGCGAGGATGAAACCAGGTCAGTTGTTCCATCGTGACGAATTCAATTTTTTTTTATACAACATAGAATGGCAAACAAGCTGACGGTCCACCTGATGGAAAGTGGTAACCGTCGCCTATAGACATGAGCAGTACCATGGACATAACAGAGTATACTGTTTCGCCCATGATACCCCCGTGCGTTGCCATTCCTGAGGACTCGGGTGTTATTCCTCTGTACCCAGTAAATTCACGCCATATCCCACCCCTTAAACCGAAACACATCCATGCAAACACAACTGCTTCACGGTTGAAACACGAATGGGACGGAGGTACCCAAGCAATCGACTTTTGTACAAAGTCTCCCTCTGGTGAATATAATTAGTTTTCAGGAAGGACCGTTTGGGAGTAGACGCTAACAATATTTCGTATACAGGCGGAATTGCTAGAATCCTTTTATTGCATAACTATTAGGCTTAATTCTTTGCTAGTTGCCGCTAACCTGGGAATTAAGGAATATAATTATACACAAAATTTAAAACAATATTTTAATATTTTTTATATATGCTATAGACAAAATCATTCCAAATATCTAATAATTCATCATCATGTCGTTTTACCGTACCTACCAAATCGTGTGGTCCTAGCATAGAATAGGCAACCCCTTCCTTTCCCGTGGGTGTCGTAAGAAGTGATTAAGGGAGGGCGAGGGATGGGCAGCAATGCCTCTCTTAAAACATCTCTAAAGCCTAACTGTGGTTGCCAATCCGACTGCCAAGCGTGGAAACTACTGCCTAGACCCCCAAGGGGGAGGCTTATGTACAGCAGTGGACAGTTAAACGCTGATATAATGATGTGGATCCTAAGGAATTGCAATGCATGAGAGGTGCCAGGCACAGACGACAGCCACCAGCCACTTTCCCAACTAGCTTGTTTGCCATCCTAAGTATCATAAAAAAATATATTATGTCAATATATATTTTAGCTAATTTTAAAAACACATTCTCTATTCACCTATGCTTTTTATGAATATATAATAATTATGTCTTAAGGATATATTATGCGATAACTTCAATCAATCAATCAAATCAAATTAAATCAATTCAATTAAACCGATTGATTTTAGGTAATCCTTTTATCAATCTATTTATTTATTTATTAATCGACAAATTTCACTCCCATCTTGATCCCACCATTGGAGTAAGTTATTGTAAAACATAATTTAATGTTTTGCACAGCATCAGAGACTGGACAAGGCAACGAGGAGCTGCTGCGGTTCGCACCGGACTCGCCCTGGAACCTGTTCTACGACATGGAGGCCCTGTTCCCCGACAAGAAGCAACAGTCGGAGCCTGCGTCGCCCAAGGACGACAATGTAATATTTGTTGTGTTTACACTTTTTTCCTTAAAATACAAGTTTTGAAGACATAAAAGTAACACCGGTTATTGGATTAAAATTGATGCCTATAAAATCGTAGGCAGCTAAACGACATAAAATCTAATAGCATAACATAAAATTTCTATAGGAAAGCATTGTAGTTAATTTGAATAGCTAAAACTTATGTGAAGCAATCATCTATTGAATTTAAAAAGCTATACCTATATCAAATACCTCAAGAGTTTGTTATGCCATATTATTATTTATTTGTTAATTAGTATGCTTTTTCCTTTAAAATGATTGTACACTAAGTATAAATAGACAGTAATTTAAATGTTAAATCTTATCAGTATCACAATTGCTAGGAGACTAAATAAAGATAAAACAAAACAAATGATATGAACTTCCGCAAGATAACACCCGCAAGACAACACCTAGTTCAATAAAATATGTAAAAGTTATAATATTAATAATTACTATTACTTCTGATGTTTTCAAATATTTAAAATATTTGAAAACATCAGAAGTAATAGTATTAATAATAAATTTATTTACTATCAGAACACTTTTGGTTTCCAAAGAAAGACTTTGTACAAAAATCATTTGTTTGGACGCCTCTGTTTCATTCATGTTTCTACCGTGAAACAATTCTATTTGTATGGCCGTGTTTCGGTTTGAAGGGTTGGATATGGCCTGGATTTTAAAGGGTACAGAGGAATAACACCCGAGTCCTCAGGAATGGCAATGCATGGGGGTATCATGGGTGAAACAGTATACTTTGTTATGTCCATGGTACTGCTCATGTCTATAGGCGATGGTTACCACTTTCCATCAGGTGGGACGGCCCACCTTGTTTGCCATTCTAAGTATTATAAAAAAAAAACTTTTTAGAATTTAAATAATCAGAAATATTAAAAGTTGTTCATTTGTTTATAAAAATTGCCACAATTCACTAAGCTCAAGTCTTGATTTAAAATTTCAATCCAGGACATATCGAAGATCAAAGTGGACATAGATGAGCTCCGGTCGCTGTCCGAGTTGGGTATCGACGTGGACTTCCTCAACGACGTCGAAGAGGACATCATTGCCTCGCAGCACGACTACGGCATCGCGAGCGCGCTCAAGCACACGTACGAGCTGCTCGTCAAGCTCGAGAAGGAGCAGAGAGACAGGTCAGTAGTACACAATAATATTTTTTTTATGCAACTAAAAAAAAAGATTAATGAACCTATCCGATAGATAGATAGATACTCTTTATTGTTTCCTCCAAAAGATTACAATAGTAAACTTATTATAAATATAAATAATTACAAGAAATAATCACAATGAGAAAACAATGGGCGACCTTATCGCTAAGAGCGATCTCTTCCAGGCAACCTTTGGACGGAGAGGAGTAATTATAAACAATTTGGTAGGAGGCACGATGAAAAATTTAGACTGTAGACTGATAGACTTTAGTATCGGTCACCTATGGCTATGAACAGTATCGTAGACAACTCTGTCAACATTAGTGTCTAAGTGTCGCTTGCGCACTTACATTTGACGTTAGAATTTGAATCAATGTTTACTAAAATTATAATGTAACGGATACGTTATGTTTGATGGATACTACTTATAAAGATTTGCATGCTTATATGGCGAAACCTACTGAACATTAAAAGACAAACTGTAACATCATATTATCTATGTTTCTGGCAAATAAATTATTATTATTATACAACCTGGAAGAAAAATTAATATGTGTTTTTCACTGTATGCAATCATGGGATATGGCGTGAATTTACTGGGTACAGAGGAATAACACCTGAGTCCTCAGGAATGGCAACGCATGGGGGGTATCATGGGCGAAACTGTATACTCTGTTATGTCCATGGTACTGCTCATGTCTATAGGCGACGGTTACCACTTTCCATCAGGTGGGCCGTCAGCTTGTTTGCCGTTCTAAGTTGTATAAAAATAAAAAATTTAGATTCTGGGTGGTTGTAGTCATTATATTTTTTTTAGTGTTTAATCCAAGGTTGATATAAAATGCCGACTTTCCGATATAATTTTCCATATATTTTTTACGCCTTATTTGACAAGATAATATTTTTTTATTTCTACATTATAGCAAAGACATGTTACAGATACTGCCTTAACATACCGCCCGCCATGGACACGCTGACGTGTCCATACCATTGTACCGACTACAAATTCACATAAAAAAACCACAAATACATATCTAACTAATACCAACTCCATACATACTTAACGGAACTTAACATAGGAGCCAAATTCTTATATAACTTAAAAATATGCAATACAAATCTTTTAAAAATATTTTTATTCAGACTTCCACCGATATTTTGGTTTCACGCTAACTAGGTTTCTGTTGTACTTTTTTTAAACTAGTTCTAGAAATTCTGCACCACATATAAGAAAATATAGCAAGCTTGAAAACTATTTCTGGTAAGTATAATACATATAATATTATATATCAATTTGTTGTTTATTTAATGGCATATTATATCTACTTTAAATTAACTATGTTATTTTTGACAATTTCTGATATCTGTTTATTATTTCCGCTATATTACTGTTTTATAATTTTCCTTAAGTTATTTATTTCTATATTATTTTTGTACATGTATATCTATCACTATACATTTATTTATTAATACATTTTATTTTCCTTTTATAGCATGTATCGTATTTGAGATTCGTCTCAGAAATATTTTTATGTTCTCTTACACTGTCATGATAAGGTACATTTACCCTATATTCTTTATTTTTCTTTTTAGTTGCCTTTCCTTTTTCGAAATTCACTTGTTTGGCACGTCTTTTTATCTTTAACTTCATTATACTCTGTTACTCTGTAATGAAGTTTTTGTACATTGTCTTAATCCTCATTAAAATGTACTAATGATAGAAACAAATCTCTAAATGTGGACCATTCTAAGTAATTTCCAGTAAAAATTGGAATATTTATTCTGGGAAACTGAACCTGAGATGACTTTGTACTACTCTCCGTTACATTTGCTTCTACTTTCTTATCAAATTTATTTAAAATTTGTTTTAATTCACTTTTATATTCTAAATATAGCTTTTCCGTCTTATCATAAACCTCTTCCGTTACATAACCTGAATTATTTAATTGACCTGAGTCACTACAATGCATAAGTTCTCTGTGGCCAGAAAAGAATTCAACCCATAATGACTCTACTATCTCGAGTCGTGTTTCGATATATTCCTTAGTGAGTCTATCTTTAGGATTCTTTGTAAAATTTGATTTATTTTTCTTTATCCTTGAATGTAAATCGTATTGACATTTAATAATAGAATCCACGTTCGTTAATGTTAAAGAAAGTTAGTTCTATTCTAGTAGCAGAACAATAAAAACAAAACGTAAAACAATGAAATTTGATAACTACGAACAAAAAGTTCTCATTGTCTAATAATAATTACATTATTATGCAACCTTCATAAAATTATTATACGTACAATTTTCAAATTTCGAACGCAACGACAACTCTCGGTCTAAGAAAAAAATAAACTTTAATTATAACACAACAAAATTCAAATGTTCGTGAAATTATTATACCACTAAATTTGAAAGTCCGTAAAATTAATCGATAATTTTAACAAGAAATGTTTATCTGCTTTCCTTAATATGCAAAATCTTCTATGAATTCACTACTTTAATGTTATTCAACATTATTTACCCACTTTAAAATATAAAATATTTATAAAACAAACAGAGCGCATACACAACTCGCACCGAAAGCATATAATTAATTTGCCGTAAATTTTATTAATGTTCCGTGCACCATCTCAAGGTGCTCCGTGTCTCCGTGTCGACAACCTCGAACTGGATACCGCTCATACGTCAATCCTTCAGGAATTACCACCTGATTCATCTAATGTTACTACGTCGAACCTTGACGCCTTGCAAAAGTAGATGATATACAATAATCGCTGCCAATTATGACTTTCCGATATAATATTCCGTATATTTTTTACGCCATATTTGACAAGACAATATTTTTTTATTTCTACATTATAGCAAAGACATTACAGATACTGCCTTAACAGTAAGGGGTATGTTCAGAATTTGCGAAACTATAACAAATGCTGCTAGAGCAGTGAAAGTAGAGGTCTGTTTTTTAAATTCTTTAAAGTGGACGGTGTTTAGTCGTCTTTCTGTGGAGACTTTACTGGTCTTGATTTCTTACACAAGTTGTTTATGATTAGTCTTCACAATGAAATGAGATATATTTGCAAGACCCTTGTACTATGTATTCCCAGTATTATTGTACACGTAATAATGAATGTTGATTATAATAACTTCGTATGTAGTAGAAAATGTTGGAGAAAACCTTCCGGGATGCTGGCATTAGTTTATTTTATTGGAATGACTATTGTCAACCATCAACCATAGTTTTAATGTTTCTACTGGATAGAAGGTTCATGATTTCATAATCCTTCGGAAAGTCTGTATGAGGGTTTCTGATAAAAGACCACGCTGTCAAGTCCAATCGAAAATGTTGTTAAATCTAGGCTAACAAGTAACATCTGACTTTTGCTTTCAATGGAAAGTACCTAGTAGGGATTCGAACGAATATATGGTAATTAAGGTTGCATTAAACTCTTTTTCCCTTTGCACTATTTTTCTGTCTAGACATATCTGCCGATTGGGACTGGTAGAGAGAGGGAGAGAGTTGTTTATGGTAGCACGTGGGTAGTGTGATACTGATAGTATATGTTGTGCTGTGGCAGGCTGTCGGCGCCGCCGCCGTGGCACCTGCAGCTGGCGGCGCGAGCAGGCGGCGCCGAGCGTGAGGCGGCGCGGCTGGCGGCAGCGTGCCTGCGCGGCATGGCGGCGCGCGTGCCGCCCGCCAGCCTCGCGCCGCTGCCCGCGCTGCGCCGCGCGCTCGGCGTCACGCTCGACCACCTCGGTGAGTAGCACCGCCACACCGCCACACCGCCACACCGCCACACCGCCACACCGCCACACCGCCACACCGCCACACCGCCACACCGCCACACCGCCACACCGCCACACCGCCACCACCACACCACCACACCACCACACCGCCACACCGCCACACCACCACACGACACAGGGGGGAAGGAATTATTAGTAATGCGGACAACCAGTCTCGTTGCTAGCAATATGCCCTACTAGGTCCACCTCCACGTGTTTCCCCCTGAAAACCATCCTGCTGAATTCCAATGTACTCGTCAAGATGAGCTAACTACTGACCTGCCTTTCATTCTCACCTATCATCCTTCACTGGTGCCTCGCCAGTATAACGTTAGTGCGGGCGAAATTACCATAATTATCAATTTTAAAGAAGCCACACACCAGCACTCTATACACAAACTCGCACCGCGCCGCGCGCTCAGCATATCGCTTGACTACTTTGATGAACTCTATCTCCAAATATATATATATAGTAAAGCAACGTCCCGCCACCCATGTAATACCCAATAGTGATGAAGGGATGTCTGAACAAATATACCTCCAACTATAAAAGAAACACCTTGGTGAGCACTTCATACCAGCACGCATTCGCACCACAGTATATAACTGCGGAGAAATTTAAAAGACAAATAATTCTCTCTGCAATCCGCACTTTAAACTCATCCACTCTTCTCCCCGACAGACACCCCGATGGCGGTTGACGACTTCGAGCTGGAGATGCATGAACAGCGCGACACAGTCTCCGACCTGGACTCGAGGTCCAGCCATGACAAATAAGAACATACAAGGAACCGAAGAAGAGATATTGTTTACAATATTTGTAAAAATAATAGCAATTAATATAAATTAAAATCCTTTAAGTATTATTAGTTTTTTTTTTTTTTTATTTGAAAACGACAACTGCCTTTCTCAACTGAAACTGCATGGAGCGGTAGAAAAATATTAGTAAAAAATGCATCTTCTACAGACTACCTGAGCATATTTAAGTCTGATATACGTATAAATGAAAATTCTGTTAATGCCCAATAATAGTACCTACTACAAATAAAAAAATCTATTAATAAATTTATTACTAATTTAAAATATGGTTATCTCTTTTCTATGTTCTATTGGAACAAACTAGTTCAAGTTCGCCGTTGACTAATGGATATACTCTAACACATTGTACCAATGCTTTTTTTAATCTATGATAAATAATCCCGTCAGCGCTATCAATATCGTAATAGTCGTAGAATACTGACGGATCCGACAAAGATTACATATAAAGATCCGTCAATATTCTACCACTATCACGATATATGTACTGTTGTCGAGCCACTAGTTGATATGATAAGCAACGATAAATTCAGATCAGTTCGCTATTTTAAGGGAAATAAAGAATGTAAAATTTAAATTTGTTATTAAAAATTTATAAATTCGTGCATGTAATGGAACGAAACGTATCGTTTGACAGTGACAGATGACTGACGTTTGATAAAGAGTGAACGACAAATTATCTTTTTGAAGACTAGGCAGCATGGTCTCCGACCTTAGCCTGTTCCAAACGGAACAAACGTATTAAAAAAAAAAAAAAAAAAAGAGTGAACGAATGTGTTTGGTGAGATGTGTTCGAGCGAGATATCAGATAATTTCTAAGGCGTAAGATAGAAAATAGAAAGGATTCGAAAAGTTCGCGAAATTTCACATACACCATTATTTATTTATTTATTTTTGTGGTACAACAACGGATTACAAACAAAACTTTTAACAATAGAATACAATAGTAGCATTATAAGCTTGCAATCCAATTATAGTTGTACTCAACATTCACAGAGATGAAACAGAATAGGTTGATTTTTACTACAAAAAAGAATTAATGATAAAAACTACATACAAAACGAGAATCAAAAACAAAACTACCAAACTATGCTTATAAACTATTAGGTTATCAATGTATGTGAAGTGCTTCGATACAACATTCGATTATATCGAATTCATTAGGAATTTTAAAGACAATGGTTTCTAAAGTGGTCCATGTCGAAGTAGATACGACAGGATATGTTGCTAGTAACAACTCCACTAGACTCTAGTGCTAGCAGTCCCTACACCTCGTCGCCCCCCGACGCACATTAAATGTCCTAACCGAAGACGAAAGTCTTTAACCACTGCGTGTTGTCAGTGATGAGCTATGAAACTGAAACATGGTTTTACACGATTACCCGTGTAGATAGATAGATAGATAGACAGATAATTTATTTGCATCACTTACAGCACACACAAACAGCAAAAGATACAAAAGCAAAGTGAAAAAAAATGAAAAAGATACATGTACAAAAGATTAAAAAAAAAAAACCAAAAACAAAATCAGAATGCATAATAAATTTTTTTTTTCTTCATGCGTGTGCCACAGTAATGCAAAAAACGTACAAACGCTTTAAATTATTCGGCGAGTTATAGAGGGGCTATGTTCGGAGTTTCTTTGCGTGAAGGAATCCGAATTGAAGGTAACTTCAAAACAACTAAAATCGCCGATATAACCCGAAGGATAAGCAAGCTGAAATGGCAATGGTCTGGTCACATAGCTTGAAGGAGCTATGGAAAGGATAAACTTCTTATATCGGTTATGCGCATAGATATATCATAGGGAGACTTTGTACAAAAGTCGATTGCTTAGGTACCTCTGTCCCATTCGTGTTTCTACCGTGCAGCAGTTATGTTTGCATGGCTGTATTTCGGTTTGAAGGGTAGGATATGGCGTAAATTTACTGGGTACAAAGGAATAACATCTGAGTCCTCAGGAATGGCAACGCATGGGGGGATATCATGGGCGAAACAGTATACTCTGTTATGTCCATGGTACTACTCATGTCTATAGGCAACGGTTACTACTTTCCATCAGGTGGGCCGTCAGCTTGTTTGCCATACTAAGTTGTATAAAAAAAATATTCCTTTGCATCAAAAATATGTTTCACCCCATGAAATAGAAGCAACAGTTTCAATTGTCACATAATTAATATAACTCTCGCTATGATCTATTAGTTGCAAACAAGTATCAAAATTAGTTCAGAATTGTAGTAACATAGCTATAAAAAATACAACAAGTTTATATTTAATATTTCATATTTTTTTATAGTATTAGGTAAAAGCAGCTGTATTATTCGTTTCTACAAATAATACTATTTTGTGAGGCTTCGTTTTTTGTACGGGATCGACTAACTGAAAGTAACCTAATCCAGAGGTTAGAGTAACGGCTGTAACCCTTCTTACCCTCTAAATAAATAAGGTCGCTGCAAAGTGACTATATACCTATTTCTTCTTAATATAAAATAAAGTAATACGCAAACTTTTTATAGGAAACAGTTTATAGAATTATGCTGATTATTACGGGAACCCAATATGAATTGTAGTGGAGAAACGAACTACCAGTCCCGTTGATAGAAATATACCTCATACAGGTCGACCTCCACGCGGTCCCCACTGAAAACCATTTCTATCTGACCTGCCTTTTCATTCTCGCCTATCATCCCACACTGGTGCCGTGCACGCGCTTCCTTCCAGAAATGTGATAACTGACCTGCTTTCATCCTGCGACCTGCTGCCTATCAACTGTCACTGGTGCCCATCGTGACAGGGGGGAGAAGGGATTGTTAGTAATGGGAACTAGAAGCCCCATTGCTAGCAATATACCCTGTCAGGTTGACCTCCTCGTGGTTCCCACTGGAAACCATCATGATTGATTTGTTGTTAGATTCGTCATGGTGGGCTAACTAAACTGCTTCATTCTCACCTATCATCTCTCACTGGTGCCCCGCCAGTGTATACCGATAGCGCAGGCGGGGTTACCATTCCATTATCATCCATTAATAAAAATCTGTTTATAATACATGGGTCGATTCTAGAACAGTACACTAGAAAAACCATAGACATAGTATGACGTAGTCTAAGGGGAAAACATCCCACAAAGTGACCTTTCACCCGTGTCACACGTCATCGACGTAGACAAAATGATTTCCTATGAGTATGAATGAGGGTCGCGTGTGACCAGGCGCGCGCCGGCTCTCACACGCGCGGCGCACGCGTCGCGTCCTTCGCGAGGGATCCACGCATTGGGGGAGTGTTGCCGCCGTGAAATTTTGCTATTATATCAAGTACCTACTCGATCAGGCTTATTTTTATGCCATTTCAAAACGGAGTGCTCTGGCCCAGTGGTAAAAGACACCCTATCTCAAATATCATGAGTTCGTATCTGGTTGATAATAAAAATTATGTATAAATTTAAGTTTTCGGTGATGGAAAACACCGTTAACTAAACTAAATTAATCTGAATAATGGCGGTAGACTCGACCTACGCCACATTGGATTCTAACATGCTTGCCTAATTGTAAACTTGTCAACGAAAACGGGACAACTTTTTGTCAGCTAATTTGACAATTAGCTGACAAAAAGTTGTCCCGTTTTTAGGACTCGACGCTCTATCTATATAATATAAGATACAAAAGCATAAATGAATAAATTTTAAAGATTGATGCCAATGAGGATTCATTTTGAGCAATCGGTTTATGTAAAGGTTGTGTCAAATGTACTTATATGTCATTAATCACAATATGTTATAGATTTTTTTTTACGGTTGTTTAGGCCATGACCTTGGCCTGTCTACGTTAATTGAAGCTGTCGCTGTACAATACGCTCGATAGCGGGAAAGGGATTGTTAGTAATGGAGACCGAGAATCCCATTGCTAGCAATATACCCAACCAGGTCGACCTCCTATGCGGTTCTCTCTGGAAACTATCATGGTTAATTCCTGATGAATTCATCATGATGGGCTAACTGGCCTGTTTTCATTCTCATCTATCACCCTTCACTGGTGCTCCGCCAGCGTATCCTGTTAGCGCAGGCGGGGCTACCATACTATTCCGGACCACCGCTCCCATAAAATTGTATATAGTCTTATAATTATTGTTACTTTACAAATAGAAATAGTTTATAGCTTTACCTTTAATAGTTTTCATAATTTGATAATGTTCGATACAATATTTCATATAGTTTATAGTCTTTTATAACCGATAGTTGATAGGAATAATATAAATTTGTCAAAAACTTAAAGAAAATGTGTGTATACATAATAGTAATTAACAGAATTGTTTACAATTACATAAAATAGATTATAGAATAAGAAATGTTCATAGAAAAATAGAAATTGTTGTTAAAACGAGATAGAAAATCCTGAGTCTTCAAAGCTCGAGCTCTGAGGGCTCGCAAGTCTTAAAGGCTCGAGTCTTAAAGGCTCAAAAGTCTTAAATAAAGGGTTCGAGTCGAAGCTCGAGCTTTATTTATATATCTGATAATATTAAAATGAAATATTTTTATTTAATTGTGGTAAGTACGTATAAAATGAAATAAAAGGATAGAAAGTAAGAATATTTTATTATATAATGAATGATAATTCGATTTTTAACCGTGCATCTACCAATGCTTCTACCTTCTCCCAAGAAAGAATTCTGGCTTTCTTCGGAAAGAATGCTGGCCATATAGAATAAACTTCATCTAAAGGTCATTTATGTTCACTTGTTGATTTTTATGTTTTAATAAGGACCCAGATGATGCCTTTTCGTTTCGTTCACTCTGTATAAAATCAACATCGCCATGACGTGATTAATGCCTTTCCAAAATGGAGTGCGATGTTTTAATAGAAAATATATGACGGCATACCTTGCACAACAATTTGTATTTCTATTTGTGTTTCTTAAATGCTAAAGCATCATATTCTGTAAGCGAAGTATCAGTAGTATCAAACTCAATGTCTTCCGATGTTACATTATCTTCCTCAATCATTTTGTAAATCTAACAAACTTTAACCAGTAAAAACTACGATAAAATGTATTATTA